AGGGAGGCTCAGGGGCCGAGGCTGCCCTCAGAGCAATAAGCATCGCCAAGCCGTTGGAATGGGCGAGGAAGTGGACGCTTCCCCCCTTGAAGGCGCTGAGGAAAGAGACGGCGCTGCGGAGGGACCCGCTTTCCGCCCCCCCTCCCGCTTAGGAAAACCTGAACGGCGTGGCCGTTGTGGAGGTTCCCCTGAGGGGTCCATCCTGTCAGGGGCGACCCTCCGTTCAGGGAGCCCGGATGGACCGCGCCGCCTAAAAGCGGCGTTACCTCAGAAAGAAGGGCGCCCTGGGTGGGTCCTTGTGGTGGTGGGGAAATCACTCGTCAGACAGGGAGAGGGGGCTGCGTACCCTTAAAAAAGAAAAGGAAAAAAAAAGAGTGTGGTGGGGTGGGGAGATGAAGGAGGGGACCACCCTCGTCAGGAAAGGGCATTCATTGATGGGGACGGGACAGGACGGGACGTGTGAAGGTCCGTCCAGGAGGAGGCCGGGCAGGGAGGGCCAGGAAGCGGAGGTCACCTCCAGGGTCGGAGGGCCTTCACGGCCGCCTCCCTCCCTCCCCCGGCTGCGCTCTCCCTGGCCGTTAAGCTGGCGGCGCGCGGAGATTTGCTGCTCCTGAAAGCCGAGCGGGAGGCAGAGCCCCTTTTCTATTGGAGGCCCACACGTGCTCTGCCCGCTCTCTCTCTCCCAGGGCTGGCGGAGGGGGGGGGCATGGGCGTTTCCTTGGACGGGAACAGCCCCCTCCCTCCGCTCCGTCCAGCCTTTTTGTGCCGCTCTCCAAGGCTGCCTGACTGCCTGGAGCCTCGGAAGGGACCGGAATCAAGGAGGAGGCCGGGTCCGAATCTCAAGCATGGCTGCTTATCTCTCCCCTGGTGCGGCTCACTTCTGTACCGAGGAACAGGAGTACCTGCAGGCTTACGAAGATGTGCTGGAGAGATACAAAGGTACCGTGGAGCTTAGGTTGTTATGCCCCAAGGTAACCCAGGAGGAGGATTTGCTGGCTGCAGGGCTGATGATGATTCGAAGCTTTGCCTTAAAATAGCTACTGGTGGCTGTAGGGGAACAGGTGGCAGAATCAGGTCCCAGAGACATTTCCATATTCCAGTCTATGCTGTGAGGATGCCAGTAAACAATATACAGTTAAGGGAGAGGTTATAGAAGCACCCTGTAGCTTTGTGATGGGGGTCATTTTGCATGGACAAGGCTTTTTCTTTCTTTTTGACAGCGAGAATGCTGCTGATACCCCAATGAGAATATTTTAAATTGTTTGATTTGATGTTTGTCTCAAATAAGTCCTGTTTCACTGTTCACTTTTTGTGGAAGGGTAGTTTCACAGATTCCAGAGAACTGAAAATGAACCGTGCCTTAAAATGTTTGTTGCATGTAACAGTTTAAAAATAAAAATGCATATCAAGACTATTTCCTTGCATTGCATATCTGCGCCTGAAACTCCATCCTGTTATGTCTGACTGTCAGCTCTTGCAAGGAGGATGACTTTGCATCTTGCATTGGACTAGTAGGGATAACAACATGAAGTCTTTTTTCTTTCTACAACATTTAGTTAGTGGAGACAGAAGTTTTTGTCTTTCACAAAATGAATCCAGCAATTGTTTTCTTGTACTATAGTGGAAATGCTGCTTGGATTATTCTCTTATCTCAGGTCATGTGGAAATGTACCTCGATGTATTAGGCATGCATTTGGAATTATTGATGGATTTCTTCATAGCAACGTTTAAAGCAATATGTAACTATTAAGCAATGTCTTAACTATAGTCCCACCATATTATGAAACACAATTGTTTGACTGAATCTTAAATATATATATTGTACACTTTCTCTTTGTTGTTTGATTTATTTGTGGGACAAAATGATCGTATGTAGCTTCATACAATCATTAAAGATTTCATTCGATAATTTGATTCAAAGGTAACAAGGTTTCAGTTTATCTATA